AAATAACTTATGATTGGGGGTCACCACAACATGAGGAACTGAAGTAGGACGATTGAGATCCACTGTTCCAGAGGATGTGAGGAGCGTCCCCAACTTCTATCTCCTCACCCTCATTTGGTGTGTAGAGAAGAATGGAAGGAGAAGTATGTGTTATGGTTATGAAGGGTCTAAAGCAGTTGTCCTTGGAAAGGTGCCAACAGGATGTGCACTGGTAGAGCCCTCACCCTGAGCACAGGACTTTGTTAAGGGGCCTTTGCCTGGTTACAGGTTGTACTTACCCTGTGGTTTGGGGACAGGCATTCCCATCTACCGGAGGAGGAATAGTTTATGTTCTTAGTAGTCTGTTCTGTGTAAGGAAGCCCAAGCAGGGTGTTCTCAGCATCTGTAGAGATTGATGTGACCCCATGGTAAGGGAAGAGGACTATTCCCCATGACTTGGCAAACAAATCACCTTCCAGAAGAAGTTCTGGTTCATAATCAAAGACTCCCATGTGGGAATGTCTAGGGTAGGTTTTAACCTCTGCTCTGTAGGAGGCTGTGTGGATGGGTGAAGGTCCCAGAAGTAGCTCGGCTAAACTTGATGGCTCTGCTGAACTCTTCTCTCGTCACTTGCCCCAAGTTCCTCAGTCTGCAGGTTAGCAGTCTAACAGACAGCTTAGACTACCAGATTGCACTTTCAGGAATCTGAACAACAAAACCGTGGGCTTCAAGTAGAGCACAAAGAATCCTATCCTGTAATTCTTTCCTCCAGAGTTGTTTTGTGTGGTGTGGTGTGGTATGGTGTGGTGATGGTGTAGTGACGGTATGGTGTGGTGTGTTGGTATGAGGGTCTGAGGTACCCTATGGTGATTTAGAATTCATAATCTTCTGCCTCAGCCTCCTTAGTGCTGGGATTACATGTTCTTATTATCATTCCTGGCTCAGGTTTATCCAGCATTCTCAAGGCAGAGGCAGGTGGATCTGGGTTAGTTCCAGGCTAGCCAGGGCTATGTAAAGAGACCTGTACCCCTCTCACACACAGAACCCTCCCTCCAGCACCACCATTTTTAATTTGACCACCCACTCCACTGTTATGGAGACGCCTAGTCCCAGTCCCTTCCACTGTTGCCCCAGACCTGGTGATCTTTATTCTTAGTGGGCACCAGATTTCCCAAAACTGATTCCATAGATTCCACAGTGTCCTCCCATGGACAAAGGAGAGAGGAGACAGGAATCACAAAGTTGGATTTGAGGAATCTCAGATGTCAATACTGATCAAAGAGAGAATTACATTTCACAAAACCAGGTACTTATCGCCATTATGGAACAGTACTAGAGGGGAGATGTCATGGACATCCAGAAAACAACCTAGGATGTGACATTTGGGAGAGTAGACATGAATACTTTGGGAAAACAATCATAGGTCAGGAGCTTCACTTTAGCATTAGTTAGTGAACGGATTGGATGAGACACACCCTGTCAACTTCATCCTGACCATTCTGATATGCATTTTCCTGGGTGGAAGGAAGACATAGTCTGCTAACTAATAAGAATGCCTTCCCCACAGTCCTGGGCCGATGCAGGAACATTCCATTCAGAAACAAAAGAACACTCAAAAGGGCACACTATTTAAGCAGGTGAGATTTGACTCAAGCCTTAATAATTCTTGTTTACCAACTGTGGGACTGGGTGTCTGTTAACTGTTTAGATGCCAAATTCTATGACCCATTGTATGGAAATGCTAACAAACCTACAATCCTGTTGGTAAATTCACTGTTCAGCATAGCAGTCCATGACATACTACAGCAGCTTATCCCTTCCCTTTCCTCCCCTCCCCTCCCCTTCTCTCCTATTTTCTTCCCCTTCCCCTTTCCCTTCCCCTTTCCCTAACTGTAACATCATCAAAATCTATAGTCACCACTCACAGGCCTTTATGCCCTGCAGGGACAGAGCCAGGTAGAAGCAGAAGATGGAGCTGGACCCTGCACTGCTCAACCTCAATCAGACACTTTCTGGGCCTGGGCCCTTCGTCCTGCTGGGTGTACCAGGACTGGAGGGCCTGCATGCCTGGCTTTCTGTGCCTGTGTGCCTGCTGTATCTGGCATCTTTGGTAGGGAATACACTTCTCCTGGGGCTGGTGGCAGTTGACAAAACCCTCCAGGCTCCCATGTACCAGCTTCTGGGGCTTCTAGCAGCTGCTGACTTAATTTTAGCCACATCCACAGTGCCTAAAGCTCTAGCAGTGCTCTGGGGCTTATCAGATGAAATCTCCTTTGGGGGCTGTTTAGCTCAGCTCTTTGTTGCTCATGTGACCTTCATTGCTGAGTCCTCAGTGCTGCTGGCCATGGCAGTGGACCGCTATGTGGCTATCTGCCAGCCCCTACGTTATGGGGCTTTGCTGAGCCAGCGTGTGGTGGGTATAGTGGCTGTAGCAGCTGTGACTCGTGGTGCCTGTGTCATGGCACCCCCTGTTGTCCTTCTGCAGAGACTGCCTTACTGTGGGCATCGGGCCTTGCCTCACACATACTGCGAGCATATGGGTGTGGCTCGTCTAGCATGTGGTGACACACGTCCCAACATCTGGTATGGACTGGCTACCACACTGCTCTCTCCAGGCCTGGACCTAGGGCTCATAGGTGCTTCCTATGTTCTCATACTCCGTGCTGTCTATCGCTTGCCATCCCCCGGTGCCCGCCACAAGACCTTGGGTACATGTGGGGCCCATGCTGGTGTCATTGTTCTCTTCTACACACCTGCTCTCTTTTCCTTCCTGGCTCACCGTTTCGGCCACCACACAGTTCCTGGGCACATCCATATTTTATTGGCTAATCTCTATGTGGTAGTTCCCCCAGCACTTAATCCTGTGGTCTATGGAGTTCGCACAAAGCAGATCACTCAGAGGCTTAGGCATTTGCTTCAAAGAGTGAGAAAGGTAGGTTCCGACAGTCAAGCCATACCACACACTTTATCTGTGTGAACCCAAGTGTTGATATCATCTGCCATCGAGTCACAGTGCTATAACCACACTACCCATTCAAAACATGTGGAAAGGCAGAGTATACCAAACTGGCCTCTCCCTACCCAGCTCCACCTGTACAGTCTATTTCTTATAGCTGTTTTGACTTCCAGTGACAAGTTACAAAAATATAGATGTTTGGGCCCTCTGGTGACAAACAAGTAGGCCAAGGACATATTCACAAGACTATAATCTTTCTCCACCAGTCCTCACAGAGTTAGATTGGTCTAATGTGGTTCTGTGTGGGACCTTTGTAAGGTATCTGGTACTAAGCAAGAATTCCACGTCTGCTGAAGGGATGAAGACAGGAGGAGCTAGATAAATAATATAGTGTGGATAGAGGAGCAGAGCTTTGGAAACTTGTTTTCTGATCTGGGTGGTTAATACCTTGAGCTCTGGAGAGCTGGGGAGGCAACAGTACTGGGGTTGCCTCCCTAGGATGTTTCCTATTTCAGATCAGATTCTGAGGGAGTTCCTGCTTTTTTAACCCTGTGTCATTTGCTAGATATAGTTGCTCAGATATGGGAAAATGTCGACAGCTCATGCTGTCATTCTTCTTGCCCTGGCCATTCACCTACTCAGCCTTCCTTCCATCTGTTCTTCCATAAAATGTAGATCTAGTGACACCAACTTGGACCCTGATTCCAGATGTTTTCATATCATATGCACATTTGGTTTTAGAATGAACTCCCAAGAGAACCAGAGGTTGTCTTCCCACCCTTTGATTCCTGCATGGAAAGGTCAGGGTATAGGACAAGATGGAGAATTAACCTCTGGTTTTGAGTAGAGAGCCAGGCAGTAAGAATCCATGAACCAAGATAAAATAGGACCTGACTGAGAATATTTTCCCATATTATAATGTAATTCCCTAGAATTACATGTACCCCTGCTCTTGAAGACTTTCTAGAATAGGAAATGGAGACTGCACGTGCCTTTTTCAAACCAGGTATCCAGCACAGTTAGACTCTCAAAGGATGGGTGGGTAGTCAGAGGGTATGGTGTTGGTGCTAAGTGGCCACAGTCTCTGGATTTAGGGGTACTGTGAGAAGTAGAGAAGCAACAGTAGACGTAGCTAGTAGTTATAGATAGCAACCTTCTCAATACAGAATGATAAGCCCTTCATGGAAACCTTCCTGGGAAATGTAGCATCTCCCACGCATATGATTAAATGGAGGACACCACATTGCATGAGAAGTACTCAAGTAAGATGACTGAGGAGATAGGGAGAGAGAGATTTAGGGTAGCCAAAAGTGAGAGCCCTGAGCTGTGATTTCTTGTCTAGGGCTTAGGAACCAAACTCTTCCTTCTCTGTAGGGCTATCTTGAGGCTTGATAGCCTGTTGCTGGTGGTATGGAGGCTTCTTAGAGCTCAGAGGGCAGAGGCTGTGAATATTTGGAGTAGGTAGATTAGGAGAGCATTTGGAGGTGAAGTAGAGTGGAAATGTTTAGAATACCCAGGATAGTGGAGGAGGCAACTTGCAAAGGATAAGGGAAGGTTTGTAACAGGGCAAAATAGTACAGTGTTGTTTAAGCAATCCCCCCAGGGGCACACTTTGGTCCCCATCCAAAGGACATGAGTAAGTGGTTAAGTAAATGGCTTCTGCCCTTAGATTCAACAGGTTAGGTTGCATTTCCTTCTATAGCCTTCATCCCCCAAATTGAGGAAAAAACCATAATCCTCTTTGAAAGGGACCCATCCCCAGGGCCCCTCAGGCTATCTCAGGTTTGCTTTAATCTATTTGTATAGGAGGGCCTGGCAGGGCAGGGGCAGATCTCTGTTTGAGATGGATGAGGAAAACTCTGTTTTCATAGAGGAAGCCCACTTCTATCCATGTTTGAAATTGTCAGTTTTTATGGCCTCCTCTCCCACCCTTCTAGCTGATCCACATATCTTAGTTCTTTTGATGTTGAAATCTTTGTCCCCTCCTACTGAGACTGTTGATTTGTAATGGAGATAAAAGCTCAGGAGAACCTAGGGACTTAGCCTATACCTATAGTCTACCAAGATGCAGTCTGATCCAACTCTTCTGGCCTCCTTTCTACTGCTGCTGCCCCTGGTGCTTCCAGGACAGCCTCAGGTACAGGAAAAGGGTGAAGATATCATGGAGGGGAGATAGTTCTGTTTTAGACTGGCCTCATTTCTATTCTCATTTTGTCAAGAATTCCTAGGTCGTTGGCACGAATGAAGATGGAGAAAACTGGAAGAGGAGATGAAGGATGGGACACCAATTTGCTTATTGTCCCTTGGGTAGTATGAGAATAGGATGAAAGAGAGGGTGAGGAGGAGAGAGGGAAAAGGAGAGAGAGGAAAGGAGACAAAGAGAGAGGGAAAGAGAAACACTCTGGGCTATACATTCTGCTGTTTCTACCAACACAGTGGATACTCTTCCTTTGATAAACATCTGCTCATAAGGGTGGTCAACCCAGGGCATTTTAGATTAAGTGGCTTTATTTTAGTTTCTGACTGAATGTAAACCCTACTTTGAGTAAGTTTTAGGCTGAAGATATAGCCAGAGTAAGCTGTGGGTATCAGAGTGCAAAAATATATAGGGGAGGATAAAATTTCTCAGAGAAGTACAGGGACCATATGTAAACTCCAGCTGGTACCATGGGTATAGTCTAAAAATTAGTAAGGAGTTTTCAATCTAGTGCTACCTTAATGAGCTTCAAAACGAAATGGAGGAAGAAGTAATGAATTACAATAATACATCTAAGTGACTCTAAGCAGGCAGGCACTATCTTAAGTGCTTTATCTATCTTCTCTCTCTCTCTCTCTCTCTCTCTCTCTCTCTCTCTCTTTCTCTCTCTCTCTCTCCCCCTACCTACCTATCTTAAAGTTAAAAAAAATAGAGAAAATGCCACAATTTCTATCACTATCCAGGTAAAGGTATTGGGAAACAGAGGGATTACATATGCAATGTTGATTACCAAAAAAAAAAAATAAAAAAAAAAAAAATGTAGCTCTGGAATCAGTGGATTTGAATTGGATGTGAGCAAACCATGTTATGCAAGGGTAAGAAGAATTCAACTTATGTGTCTCTTAGCCTTAGAGCTGCCCCACACTTGCTCTGGTTCATGGAGGCAAGGGAGCTCCCACCTACCCTCACCTTCTTGGCTTATGCTGACCCACCCCATCATAGTTTAGAGCTGTGTAGCTGCCTTTGATGTAAGAGCCCACAATCTGAAATAAATGTCAAACTTTGGAGAAGCTCTCAGCCTTGTCAATTATTAATTATGTAAGCTTCTTTTAATCTCAGACCCTTGTGATTTTTCATTTGCAATTATGGATCATTACTCACCTCGTGCTGTGTTTTTATGAGTGTTAGATCTGGCTCCAGATGTGGATTCCCGCTGCTGCTTCCTTGATGATTAGAAAGTCTCTCTACTGTTCTCTTCAGGAGAGGCTGAGGTTGTAGAGATCTGCCAGATCTCAAGACTGAGGTCTTTGTTGAGAACTGAAGTTCCTTAAGCCTTCGTCTGTGCTTTTCTGGAGGCCAGAAAGCCTTCCCTTCTCCCACAGATGAAAGACATCTTGGCAGTCTGCTGTGTGGAGTGTAGCTATATGCATTCAGTACATGATACAGGGTGAGAGTGATCAAATAATGGAAACTAGAAGGGACTGAAACTTCATTCTGGCAAATTAAAAATAGCTCAAACTCCCAATAGAGCCCTTAGACAGCCAGTAAATCCACATGCAACGTGTTCTACATCACCCCAGAACAGGGCTGTCTCTCTTTCTGCCTCACTTTCGCAAACAGCATATGGAGATCCAGTGTGCTTCATTGCCTTCAGTGTGCCTATAACCCTGCTTTTGCAGTTGGTGAGAAGTGCATTAAACTCCATGGATGGAAGTGGCACTTTCCAGTGTGTGGTCCACCTGCCCAACAACTCTATCTTCCTGCAGCAGCTGGAACAGCTACAGACTACACTGCAGGATCTCATTGGCAAGTATGAACAACAGCTGTCTAGGGTGAGTGAGTGCTGGGATAGTAGGTTTGTAAGCACATCCTTTACTGGCTTTGGCTTAGGAAGGAGTTCATGTCAATTATTCTATCTTGAGATCACTCCTTAGGATCAAAGGGAAATTTGGTACTATTCTTATGGTCTCCGATGGCAGTAACAGCAAAGCATGGCTTATAGATATTTACAGGAACTTCTTACATTAATGGATAAAATTGTGGTTGTAAATCCATTGAAAAACAAGACGTGGGAAAAACAGACACATACACAGTCTAATCAAAGGGTTAAAAGCAGGATGACCAAGTGGAGGAGCAGAGAACAGATTTGTGTTAATGAACTGAAATAGAAGTGCCATGTGGAAGGGTTGATCTGGAAGCTTGGCACTGAGCCCATAATTGGAGTAAGTGAGCAGAAATATTATATCTTCTGTCTAGTGTGGCTAATGGTTTAGTGAACCTTACTTGCTGAGCTCCCAGGGAAACTTAATCATATATGGCTAGACTGGAAGCTGGTATTGTTTATACTTCTACTCATCTAATTAATCTTAAGGGATGGCTCTAAAGGGTTCAACAAATAGTATAGGTGGATTTTTTTTTCTTTTGTCTTCAGAAAACAAGGACCTGAATGTCCTCTGGTAAGAAATGGCGTATAATATCACTGTTAAATGAAGTGATAGACATAAGTTGGATGTGAATGGATAGAAGAATCAGGCTCCTTGACATTTAGAGGAACTATATGCCTATCCTCTTGTGCCCAGGTCAAGGAGTATGCACATACCACTGAGGATCAAGACAGCCAGACTCTAGAACTGAGTCACATGTTGGAGTCCAGGAATCCCGGTGTTACTGTGTCCCAGTTTGACAACCCAGCCTTCAACCTGCTACACCTGGAGCTGGAAGGAGCACAGGAGTTGGTATCTCAGCTTCAAGCCAAGGCAGGTGTCAGTGGGGCCATGGAGCTCATCCGCCAACTCCGGAACCAGGTGTGTTGACATATTAAAAAGCTCTCCCTTACTCTCACAGCCTCTTCTCTCACCTGGTTAGGTATTGTATTTGATCCTTTCCCAAGCCTCTTTCTTCCAGAGAAGACTCCTAACTTAAAAATAACAGTATCAATTGAGCTTGAGGACACCCTGTGATCCACATTCCTGGGATCTCATTCTCCCAGGTTACTAATGCCAGTTTGGCCCTGAAGCTTCTGGCTGACTCTGACTACCGAAGCTTCCAAGAGGAGGTGGACATCCTTGAGAGCCGACTAAGTGAGTGCGAGAGGGAGAAAGAACAGGAACAGTCTTCCACATACCCTGGTCCACCCCTGGCTCCTGGTGAGTGCACAGACTGAATTTCCCACGATTTTCTTCATTGACTGGGCCAAATGCATGACTGTTGTAGTAGACCAAGGGACTAATGGGAGCCCAGTAAAGATCTTGATAAGGAATAAGTCTTCAGTTTCCTGAATTTACTAAGATTGGTATCTTCTCATGGACATACCCATATGTGAATGGGACATACCCATTCATACTTCTCATAGCTAGGTGCATGCATTCATGCAAAATCAGTCTATTTATATGATTATCTATATACTTGCATGAGCATGCTCTCATGCACATATACTAATTGCACTCTATCCTATGCTTTCTGTGAGTTATATACTTTGTGTCTTGCTGACATCTTGCCCACTGTCCTCTGTAGGTTCCTGCACTCATGGAGGTCTACAGAAAGTGAGCAGACCCCTTGTGCTGAAGCTCAATTGGAGGGGTTTACAATACAAGGCAGGTGCCTGGGGCCGAGACTCAGCACCCAATCCATCTTCTTCCCTTTACTGGGTGTCTCCTCTGCGTGCTGATGGCAGGTGAGTCGTATGTGACAAAATTTCTGTGCCTGGGTCCATTCTATCTGTACTTTAACCTGCCCCCAATAGTGCTAGTAGCCCTAGCACTGATTGTTATTTTTGTTTTTATATTTGCTGCTGGGTCAGCCAGTGTAGTCTAGATCTGGCAAATCACCACATACTACTCTGAACATTTTAGTTTTATCATGAACCAAAGTCTTATCCCAACTCAAAGACAAACTCTTCTCTACCTTAGCTTTAGAGTCCCAATTTTCTATTAATGGTCCTGGTCATCCTTGAGACCTATAGTAAAGCTGTACTGAAGACAATTTTTAATATTGCCATTATGCAAAATGAGTTCAGATGGATAAACTGCTCTTTTTTTTAAAAAAAATATTTCACATCTAGATTGCAGCATCCTCTTCCTTCTTTCCTCCCATTCGCTCTTTCCCCTCCACCCACTTTCAATACATCCCCCCTCCATATTTGCTCATAAAGGGGCGGTCCTCCCATGGGCATCAGCAAAGCATGGCATTCAAGCTGCTGTAAGACCAAGCACCTTCCACTGTGTTCAGGTTGGGAAAGACAGTCCCACATGAGAAATAGGTTCCCAGGAGTCAGTCAAAGCACCAGGGACAGCCCTGTTTCCACTGCCAGGAGTCCTACAAATAGAGTAAGCTACATAACTGTCCCATGTAGAGGGCCTAGGTTGCTCTCATGTAGGCTCCCTGGTTGTTGGTTCAGACTTTGAGTCCTCGTGATCCAGGTAGCTGTTTTGGGGGGTTTCCCTTTGATACCCCTGACCCCCTTGGTTTCTTCTCCACATCAGGACTCTGTGATCTTAGCCTAATATTTGGCAATGGTTCTCTGAATTTGCCTTCATCAGTCAATGGATGAAGGTGAATGAACCACTCTTAACCACCTATAACATGAGGATAATTAGATATATGTTATCATGGGATAACATGGAAAAGTATGAGTTATAGTAGGTCATGACAAGTACTTGTTAGTTAAATGAGTGGCTATATGAATCCATGAACAGGTATGCGAGCCCTTCAACAGACCAGACTGGCTAGGAAGGTGGATGCAACACTCTGGTTAAAGTCAGTGCATGTGGAAGTGTGGTGTGGCCCTAACCGAGCAGCAGATCATGGGAGAGAGGAATATATGTGGGTGCAACCAGCCATTAAAGAACTCTATTTGAAACTTATCTGAAAGGCAAATATTAGTCATAGTAATACTCCCCAACTCCTATTGTGTAGCCTATAAGACACTCTAGAAACCCTTTACTTTGGTTACTCTCAAGATAGTAATTGGTAGTTTAGAACTTACTGCAATGATTCTATCTAAACCTCCTTGAACCAAACTCTAGAACCATAGTTTAGTACATGGTACTTGCATCTCACTGGCACATGGAATGTAGTGTAGCCTTGCTACAAAGGTATCCATAAAGAAAGCATCAGATACTACTTGTTGATTGCTTTCTATGATAAACACTGTACTAAATTTATTATTATCACTATCTATGCCAGTTTTCACAATAATGAAGTATATTGTTTTGTTATTCCTGTCAGGTTTCACTTATAATCTCCATGACTTCGAGGAAACAAACAAACAAATAAAAACCAAACCAAACCAAACCAACCAACCAAACAAACAAACAAAACAACTTTCTGAGACCTAGCTCTATAATCTGTGAGGGTAAAGTTAACCTTATATAATCTCTCCAGTATAATTTAATGAGAATATGCATTTATATGGCTAGCAGACACCGTAGCTGTTGCTTTATGGTTATTTATTTTTGGCATAGCATATAGTAAGTAAAAAATAGAATATAAATACCATTTGACAGCAAAGTCCCTGCTCTTAATTGGCATATGATGCTGCCCAGTTTTATTTTGTTTTTATGTGTGAGAATTTAATATACATGAACAATGTATTTGCATCATGTACATCCCTCACCCTCTCCCTGACCCAACTCCAATTCTTCCTGTGAGCCTCCTTTATGTCTCTTTAAATTTTATGTCTTTTCTTCTTCTGTAATTACAACACATACTCTCTCTCTCTCTCTCTCTCTCTCTCTCTCTCTCTCTCTCTCTCTCTCTCTCTCTCACACACACACACACACACACACACATACAGTCTCCTGAATTCAGTTAGTGTTTCCCACATGTACATGTGTGTAGGACTGACCACTTGGGCAAAGGCAATCTGTTAGGGGGTTTGCCCCTGAAGAAAACAGACTCTTCTTCCCTCCACAACTATGAAGTGCTTGTAGCTGCCCACCTAGGGCTAAGACTTCATAAACCTTTCTCACACCTATGCTGCAATGTTTATTGGTCCAGTGAAGGTCTTATGTAGGTGAGCATGTCATTGTGAGTTCATGGGCGAAACATTCCTGTCATGTCCAGAAGATGCGGTAGTACTCCTGGTCCTTTGGCTGTTACACTTAATCTTTCCATTCCTGCTTCTGCTATGTTCCCTGAGCTTGATTGTGGGAGTTGTATTATAGATGTCCCATTTGGGTATGAGAGATAATCATCTTCATAGTTCTTTACTGCTTTGGTTACTGCTGTCACTTAATGGTTCTAATATGTGTGTGTGTGTGGGGGGGTGCTTGGCCTAGGTACTTTGACTACTACAGGTTGCACAAATCCTATGATGACCTGGTGCTGCTGAAGCACTATGAGCAGTGGAAGATGGGCTATGGTGATGGCAGTGGTAATACTGTGTACAAGAACTTCATGTACTTTAACTATTATGGCACAAGAGACATAGCCAAGGTGGACCTTTCCTCCAACACCCTAGTGCTGCGACGTTCATTGCCTGGTGCCACCTACAACAACCGCTTCTCGTATGCTGCTGTGCCTTGGACTACCTTAGATTTTGCTGGTGATGAGAAGGGGCTGTGGGTGCTCTATGCCACAGAGGAGAGCAAGGGTAACTTGGTAATAAGTCGTCTCAATGACAGCACCCTAGAAGTTGAGCAAACCTGGTATACCAGCCAGTATAAGCCTGCTCTTTCAGGGGCCTTCATGGCCTGTGGAGTGCTCTACGCTTTGCGCTCACTAAGCACTCGTCAAGAGGAGATCTTTTATGCTTATGACACTACCACTAGTCAGGAACACCACCTCAGCATCCGGTTGGACAAGATGTTGGAAACACTACATGGCATCAATTACTGTCCTTGGGATCACAAGCTCTATGTTTATAATGATGGATTCTTAATAAATTATGATCTCACCTTCCTGACACTACAAGAAAAGCTGCCAAGCTCTCCTATTAAAAAACCTTCTGGGGCTTCAGCTCTATCCAAACCCATCAAGCCCACAAGCCCTCCAGGCCAGGAGACTCCATGATTGATCAGGGTACTCATAAAATTATGTTGTCTTCCTCACCTTCAGAACAACTCCCTAAATAGTCACCTACCCAAATGATTGAGGAACAGTGATTATATTTAGTTCTATATGTAATTAATATTTCAATCAACACATTAAGGTGCTAATAATGGCCTATAAGGATTTGATTAAGAACAAAATGCAATATTAGCTAGAGATGGTTTGGAAGGGTGGCTCAGTGATAAATTATGTCTAGGCATACACTAGGCTCTACATTTAATGCTTAGCACAGTGGGTGGGGAGAAAACTCATCATTCATCCTTAGCATAAAAAATAACAAAAAAAATTAGCTGGAGATGTTGCTCTTTTTCTGATCAAGCTTTAAAACTTTCCAGGATAGTTCCTAGAATTCTAGGATCATGTGACCTTTTACTCTCAGGGTCAAGTTGAGTACATGTGATTCTAGTGTAGAAGATCTGTGGAAGCCGTGTTGAGAGTGGGGTATAGAAGTTCCCTTCATATCTCCATACCCCTGAAGGGTTCTGCAGAGAAGGGAGACAGGATCTTGGTCTGAAGATAAGTTCTTCACTGCCCTTAACCAATCTCAATTTTGAGTAGAACTGAAAGAGGCACTTAGACCTGACCCTGCTCTAGAGAGTTAGCAACTGAATTAGTCAGGATAAGTGGCATGGAATAAGAATTTGGACTGTGGATTGAGACATTCTCAATAAAGACTTGGTGTGATTTCAGGAAGTTTCCTAGCATGTGTTTGTCCTTTCTTTCCTCTCTTCAATGAAATGAGAACATGTGGGTTCAAACTGTGTGTTTCTTATCTGTCCACACAGTGTTCCTCTCTCTCTAGGCAGATTCCCAAGCTGTCCTAGTCATAGAGGATGTATGCACTCTCTTTGTGTGAATATTCACAAACATAAATCCTAGAACATGTATACTTTGGATATGTAATAATTCTATATTGAAGTATTTATATAAATATCATAACATGTCCACTAACAGTTCATAAGCTTCCTAAGAAAAATAATCCAAGAATCTGGGGGCCTGAGAATCTTGACATTTCACTTGCTGGAACCTGTTCCCCTTAGGAAATGCAGCACTAACCAGTTTCACTCTACCACTTGGTCTAGAGGTACCTGTCCTCTTTGGTGTTTTCACTTAAGAATGATCAAGGATCTTGAAATCACCCACTCAAAAAGCCTGGTATGATGGCTTATAGAGAGACTGAGACTTGGAAATTATGTGAATAAAAAGTGTGCTGTAAATAGCAGCCTGTTTACCTCTACTTTGGGGGGTTTCCTTATAGAAAGCCCCCTTGACCAGTCCTACCGCTAATTCCCAAAGAAGAAAAAATACTTTACCTATTGCATGGACACATTTTCACTTAAGTCTAGAATCCCACAGTTTAGACGGCACAGGAAGATGTGGCCTCCTTTTCACATGAGACTTTCACTTTTGTTTCATTGCCATTGCCACCCCCCTCCTTTTTTTTTTTTTTCAAACACAATTGTTTTGAAATTTCACATTATGAACTCTAATCCCACTCACCTCCCAGTCCTTCCATACCTGCCTGCAGCATGTTGCATGTTCTTCCCTCCAAGTCCCCATATTAATTTAAAATGAAACAAACAACAAGCAAAATCCTACCTTTGCTCCTCGGTCTTTCTTTCCAGCACCTCTTCATTCATCCTACTGGTATCAGGAGTTGCAGTGTTTCATTCAGTGTACGCTTTTGCCTAGTAAGTACCATCCTCAAAATGTTCATTGCAATGAGTCATTGGTCTGGTTCAAGGCCTCTGGCACACCATCTTCACTCCTCTCTGATGCCCTGCTATTGCCCCAAGTCATGGAGATTCTGCAGTTGTGGTTCCACAGGACTAGTCCCTTCATGCACTCCAGCAGGTCATAGATAGAGTAGATATTAGGGTGGGCCAACCCAAGGCCCAGGATGTAGGTGTGAGTGGTAGCTGAGCTGGTCAGTCCAGACCACTGTGACCACCTCTGTCAGGAGATGATTGGAGATAGCTCTCTTAGGGTGAGGGGCAGAGCCTGGCTAGCTCTCCTGAGTGTGGTAGTGCTAGGGTAGCTTTCCCATGGGGGAAAGTAAGTTCTGCTGCAATGTTCAGTGAGGGGCAGGACCAGCTATCCCAGGGCCAGTGAGGGGCCTTGTTGGTTCAGCATAGCCCTTGGATTTTAACATGTATGGTTTCTCTAATGCCCTGTGGTAACACAGCCCATGGACATCATCAGCCTCCAGTTTCAGCAGGAACATGGTCCCAGATATGGGCCTCGGCAGCATTCCTGGCCTGGATGACATCATAGCCCTAAGTAACAGTGCAAGCCATTCAGATTGGCATGACCCTGGTGGTGGCAAGACCCTTGGACACAACACTGCCACAGGATACAGCCTAGAACCTTGGCATCTGTGTGGCCTTTTGTGATAATTCAGGCCATGGACATCAACATAGATCCTGCTGTGATAGGACTATGGACCCAGATATGGTACTCAGCAGCAGCCTGGGCCTGGATGTTACCATGGCACCTGTGGCAGTGCAAGCCACTCAGATCTGTATGACTCTGGCTGTAGCAGGACCCTCAGATCCCCATCTGACTTGGGTATTTGTGTGACCTTTGGTGTTATCAGGGGCCACAGATATCAACCCAGACCCTGGCTGTAATAGGGTCACAGACCCAGTCATGGCCCTATACTACAGCCCTGGGTGCCACCATGGCCCTTGGTGCAACACAGGCCATCCAGATTAGCATGGTCCTTGTGTCAGCATGGCCCTTGGACATGGACTCGGGTATCTGACCAGACCCCAGTCATCCACATGGCCTTCAATGGTTACTGAAACCATGAACATCAACACAGATGCTGGGTGCTGCAGGGCCATGGCCCCTGGCAGCAGATTGGGTCTGGATGCCATTATTTTCCCTGGTGGCAGCACAGGCCACTCAGGTCAACATGGCCCCCATGGTGCCATGGCCTTTAGACACCAAAATGACCACAGGTCTTCATGGCCTTGGTGGCAACATGGGTCATAGACATCAACACAGCTCTCCCACTCCTGTGACCAGGACCAGCTCTCTCGCATGAGGAAGTGGGAAGGAGCAAGGGAAAGAAGAGGGGATATTTTTGTTGTTTGTTTGTTTTTTACTTACTCAAGCCACCATGGGGCAAGCTCTCCAAATCTCGGCCACTCACCTGCACCACCCATGCCAGCAGAGATAGCTCATCTGTGTTGCACTACAGAGATTCAGGGCCCACTCTCTTGGGTGCTGCAGTTGGTGAGCAGGGTCAGCTCTGTGCAGCCCTATCCTCACTGTTTTCAGTGGTAATAGAAGTCGTGGACATCAACGCAGACACCTTGAACCAGATAAATGACACTTTGGAATGAACACTTACAAGTAAAGATGTATGAACTAAAGGATGTACTGTGAGGCTCAATGGGCCACACAACAGCTTCCATGCTGAGTTAAAATTCTTTTTTTGTTTTTTCTTAAAAAATTTTCTTTTGAGGGGGAGGTTGCAAGGGCAGAGGGCAGAAGGCAGAGGACAGGGAGATGACTGGGATCAGGATGCATGTTGTGAAATCCACAAAGAATCCAGCCCGGGCTGGACTAGAACTCACTAAGTAGACCAGGCTCATCATAGACATTTACCTACCTCTGCTTTCAGAGTGGTAGGATTAAAGGCATATCTCACTTCTAATCACCATTTCCATTTTTAACATTCACTTTGTCCAGACCATCAGCAAAATTAATAAGATCTTCTTGTGATGCAGACTCCATTCTCACTCTTTGGAGTGAAGTTTATTTATTTTTGGTTTCATCAGATCCAACACTAAACCTAATAAACCTAATCATTCCAAAGGGGGACCTACACACAGCTCTAAAAAACACATATTCCATATCTGTTGAATTACTACTACTACTATTTACTAGGAAATTTTATCTCCAGTTTTGAAAAATTGTCCTAGTTTGTTTTATTAGGAAGAGAGAGGTCCCCATTCCCCCAAATTTATTCATCCCACTTCATCAAGCATATTGTGAGGCCCAAGTTGACATCACAATATTTCTTGTCTGAACAGGTCATGCCCTTGGGGGTGGGGCAGCTGTGAAGGGTCATCACTATTTAGTCTACTCTGTGCCAAGTATGAGTCAGTAGCCACGCCAGGCCTCAGCTGGGCCACATCTGGAGAATTGGGGTGAGGGTACAACATCGGATAATACTGGATTCAGCAGTTCATCCTTTTGGGGGACATCAAGAAAAACTAACCTATGACCTCAGAACAAAACACCTGCAACAAAGGCCAGCAGGACCATTTGCTTGCCCTCACCTCTCTGCCCCTGCTTCTGCCTGCTCTCCATCTGCCTACCCACTAAGGTCTATGCTGCATATTATCTTTCAAACACCTAGAATGCCCCAGAGCAGATGTCCTGCAGGTGTGCCTGCAGATGGGAATATCTCTCCAAGTGTTATTCGAGTGACTGTGAAGACACCAGGCCACCAGAACAACTTTACAGTACCTGGTGATACCTCAGTGAGGCAATTCAAGGAGAAACTATCTGCTCACTTCAAATGCCAAATGGACCAATTGGTACTGGTTTACATGGGACGCCTTCTCAAAGACCATGACATACTGAGCCAAAGGGGCATCACAGATGGCCATATCATCCACGTGGTCATCAAGTCCAAGCATGGCTCCAGATCCCTGGCTCATTCTTTCCGGAACCTGTTAACCAAAAATCCCCGCCATCAAGACAGAAGCACCAAAGGAAACAGCACTAAGCTGTGCCAATCTGTAGGCATGGGTCACACCAAAGCGGAATCATCCTTCCTCAAGGAATCTGATGCACCCAAGGTGGGTACTCAAAATCCAGAAGTGGATAATCCAGAGCATATTGCACAAATGTTGGAGAATCTTTGTATTCAGAGAATGTTGTCCAATATGGATTTCATACGCCAGCTGATCTCAGAACACCCAGATATACAAGAATTCATACGGCAGA